CCGACGAAACAGTTTGTCACAGCCCCTCGTTTGTTGTCCTCTTCTCCCTCTCTGCCTACGGTTTACCGGGCAGTTCTATTTGACTATCGTCACAAACAGAACTGCCCGGTAAACCGTAGGCAGAGAGAGAGAAGAGGACAACAAACAAGGGGCTGTGACAAACTGTTTCGTCGGAGTTTCACCGTATATATACGTATTGTCACAAGAATATCATAGCGCAAATGCGAAAGAAAAAAAGAAAGAAAAACAAGAAAAAACGAATTCAGTTTCTTATCTTCTTCCTTATAACTCCCCCTGTTCAGAACCTCTTGCGTACAACGCCGCCCACGTGGATGTAGGTTGAGCGGCGGCTGCCCCCACCCCCGTGTGTCATATCGACCCACTTGAACACAGCCAAAAGGCAAAGAGGCGAAGAAAAGAGGAAGGGAACAGCCAAATAATACAGAACAGGGGGCAACAAAACAGATCGCAGATGACAAGTCCCACATGCAAGCACCGCCCCTGCCCACAGGCCAAACGACAGGACAAGACCAACCAGGATGTCAAACAATCTTGTCTGCAAAAAAATCAAAAAGAACCCGGAGGACCTGTATAAAAAACAATCCCGGATGACGATTCCCACATGCAAGCACCGCCCCGCCCACAAAAGGCCGAACAACGGGAAACAACCAACCAGGATGCCAAAACAATAAAAAAGCCCGGATGACTAGTCCCACATAAAGCACCGCTACCTGCTGACTGAATAGGCCGAATAACGGGACAAAACCAACCAGGATGCAGACAAGATTACCATAACAAATCTACCATATCCATAGTAAAAAAAAAACGGAACCGTACAGTAGGCCCGCAAAACGAAACACCCCAGCAACGGGGAAGAATGAGCAACACCAAAAAATGCGGGATGATAGGACGATGAGTCAGGCATATATATATATCGTCACAAATAGAACTGCCCGGTAAACCGTAGGCAGAGAGGGAGAAGAGGACAACAAACGAGGGGCTGTGACAAATATATATCGTCACAAATAGAACTGCCCGGTAAACCGTAGGCAGAGAGAGAGAAGAGGACAACAAACGAGGGGCTGTGACAAACTGTTTCGTCGGAGTTTATATATATATATTGTCAAACAGATATATCGTCAAACAGAGCTGCCCGGTAGGGGGGGAACTTGTGCAACAACTAATCCGGAGGCTGCTGCTAGGCAGTGTGAGGTGTATTGAGAGAAGAGCATAGCTTTTTTTTTTTTTTTTTGAACGGTGTTGCATGGATCGAGCTGTTAGGTTTTATACATGCTAGGACTTGCCTGGACGTATCTGACCAGTTTTCCCTCCAGGTTCCTTCAAAGCAGCCCAAGTGTGAGCGATGTAGCTGCTACGTAAAGTGAGGTATATTGAGAGAAGATTATAACTTGTTTTTCAAAACAGCGTTGCACGGATCTAGCTGGTAGGTTATACACACACGAGGACTTGCCTGGACGTATCTGACCAATTTTCCCTCCAGATTCCTTCACAGAAGCCCAAATGTGAGCAATTTACTGGCAACAAGCAAAAAGAGAGTGTTTCTTAACGCACCACGAAGCTCAACACTTACTTGTCCAGTTGTAGATTTGCCATCGCCCGATTGTTGTAATACAGAGGGTTCTTTGGATCTAGCTTGATGGCTTCGGTATAATAAGCCACCGCTTTCGCAAAGTTGTTCTCCCTAAACGCGGCATTTCCCTGCAAAAGTACACCAACAAGGAGCGAATCAGACGATCCATCAAATGGACCAAACTTTATCGTACGTTTAGCCCCCCCCTCGTCCTCCTTCCATATCCCTGTCGCAAGAGCTGCAGTGAATGATATCCTGTTTCTCCCATAGTGTTCCTCCTGCCTTGGCATAATTTTTCCCTTACACCACCACTACCTTTCCCGCTCTTGGGAAAACGGGAAAATTTCCCACTCCTAAAAAAAACGCAGGCCGAGCCCGACAACGGCCGCCGTTGATCAATCTCATCGGCCGCCATCGTTTCGCTTCGGCCTCCTAAATATTCAGGGGCCCGACGGCGGCCCACATGGGAAAAGGTAGTGGTGGTTTAAACCGCCGTTGCACCCAGGCATGGAGGCGTTGCACTGCGCACCAAACATTTCCGAACCGCGGGCGGCACAGTTTGTTTTTTTTTTACTTTTTGGGCTGGCACCGCCAGCCATTGTGGTCCGGTAGCCCCCAGCCCCAAAACATTTGCAGCTGGCAGCTCACAATTTTCTGTAGGGCTGGGGCCGTGTGCTGGCAGTCTGAGCCCAGGGTGCACTTTTTTCCCCCCGACAGGATAGTAGTTTATGCAAGACTATCGTCTTCACCCCAATAGAACGCCCGTCCATTATAGCCGTATCTGGAATTGACATCGGGTGAAGACGGTAGCACTGGCAGCAGTTCTGAACGGAAAGTGAGAAAGGTCACCGCGGGGGTAAGGTGAGGCGGGATGAAGGCAGCATCGAGGCCTCAGACTTGTCCCCTTACAGCCTGTCCCATTTCACATTAAGCCACCAGTGCCTCCGGGACTTCTTTTCCCCAAAAACGGACTTGAACTGCGTGCCAAAGAAAAGACAAACCAGCACGTCAGCTCTTTTTTTTTTTTTTACTAGCATCACCAGCCATTTCGGCATGGACTGCTGGCCCCCGAAAGATGCAGCGCGTCCACGGCCGCGTCAAAGAAATTTGGCTGTGAACAGTACTGGTGGTTTAAAAGAATAGTACCCTTCTATCTAACAGGAGAATAGGCGGCACACACCTTCAACCAGCCCCGCCTCCTGGAAAAGATCGTGCTGATCGACGCAGACAGAAAACAGAGCTGTCATCATTGGATGATCAATCCGGATGGGCCAAGTGAAAAAGGGAAGGCCTCCAGGTAACCATCACGGTCCAAGTGGTAGTGGTGGTTGCAGTCCATCCACAGAGCAGCATCACGGTTATTTACCTTCTCTTTCGCAGCTTCTGCAGCTTGCTTCTGAGATCGATCTGGAAGCGCAATCCCCTTTGCCTCTGACTCCGTCAACGTCTTTAACTCCTCTTTCATGACAGGCATTAGCTTACATACTGCATCAAGGAGTGTCAAATCATTCCCATGCATCCCAAGCAGTGAAAGTGCAAGTGGGAGGCCTGCTGGCTTACTCTCCGTCACACCTGCCGGCATGCTAACCTGAAAGACACACACACACACACACACACACACACACACACACACACACACACACACACACACACACACACACACAGAGACAACACACACACACACACACACACACACACACACATGAGACACACATGCGCATGCGCACACACAGCGACCATGACAACACACCGTCTTAGAGAATATATCCCCTTTCACACTGAATGAACGTAAAATTGTAAAAAAACCCTGTCATGGAAACACAAATCTTGTGGTTAGCACACCTGACACAAAGCCACAAGTTGAAACGTGAAAGACGGGATTTTTTTCCTTCCTTGTGGTGTCGAAACCGACCGGTCTTAACACCTCTTCGCACCTTGTGCCGGCTGGTCCAGATAACAAAATTACGAGAAAGTCAGTACATCCGACACATCGTCATGCCGTTGCCACATATGCACAGATTCTCCAAAAACATCACAATTTAGAGAGGATGCAGCGCGAAAGAATCTTTCGAAGCTACCACAGTTTAGTGGAGTTTACAACACAACTTATGATGGTCGAGTTTATTATGCTATAACAGTCTTTCCAGTGTCCACTAGAAAGTTCACATGATTCCCTGCCATGCATGATATGCCAAAGCATCGCAACAATCGACGAGCTGAGATGATGGATTGCAGAGCAGATCCCCATTATTAACCACATAATAGTATCATAGAGATTTTTCACTGACAATTTTCATTTGCTGGGCTGAGATAACCCCAAGACTCTTTTCTAGGCCTATCTATTCTTGCATTAGGCGGGTGGAGGGCAGTGTGTGGCAAGACAGCATGAAGAGACGAACACTACCTGTGATGCAATTAAGTGTTGAGCAAAGGAAGCACACAAGGAGGGAAGAAAGCCCTTCAGTAAAAAAAAAAAAAAAAAAAAAAAAAAACTGGCTCCATTTGCATTCTGGGGAGAATAGGGTCATTATTATAAATTTGACACCCCCTCTTAACCCCCAGCTAAGGAGGGAAGAAAGCTTAAAATTTAAAAATCCAACAACAAAGCTGGTCCAGGAAACCGACCTGCGGAACACCGCCCATGCTCGCCAGAGCCACAAGCTGCATCGCTCTCGCTCGAATGTCACTCAGGACGGACGAGTATGACCTTGTCTTGGGTGGAAGCGCAGAGGCAGTCGGAATGCATAACACCCCATCACCCTGCATGAGAGCGAATGGCAAACCATCCGTATGCACAAGCCCAAAAGATCGTTCACGGCAACATGTTTTAGACACCGAAAGCCATCACAAATTTTCCCAATTCCTTTTTTTTCCTTCTTTTTTTTTTTTTCAGATGTCCGGTCCCTCTTCCACTGGCAAGTCGTGAATTTACAATACCCCTCACTCTTGCTTCTTTCCCCGTCTGGCTGAAGAGGCATCCCAAATCTTTTTTTTGAAAGAAAGCCGAGAATAGTAGAATACAGAAATCCACACACCACTGGCCTCCCTCCCTCACTCTTCTGGATCCGTAAAGTCTAGAAAATGAGGCAGCCCCGATTCCCGAGCGGACAGGTCGTGGTAAGTGGTTGAACCCCTATTCCTTTTTTTTTTTCCTTCCTGATTTGGCAGGATTGCAGATTCGCTAACCAAAGTGAGCGAGAGCCAGTGAGGACCGGAGCCGAGAGATCCGCAGTTTACGGCACCATAGTCAAAATGATGAATCGCAACAGAGTATTTACTACGAGAGAAACAACGTTGGTGCCGTAGGCCCGTAGCTATAATAATGACCCTATAGACTTCCACCTTCTCTCAACGTTAGTTTGCCACTGTGCCAGACACTTCTCCCAATCGATTCCCACGCGCTGAACACCTGCAGGATAGCGTAAGAATTTCATGCAGCCGTAGCAAGGACGAAAAAGGACAGCCCACACAGCCGTAGCAAGGACGAAAAAGGACAGCCCACACAGCCGTAGCAAGGACGAAAAAGGACAGCCCATACAGCCGTAGCAAGGACGAAAAAGGACAACGACGAAAAAGGACAACCCACAAAACAAGGACAGGCATGTAGCTTGATTGTCTAATAGAACAAATGGAGCAACTTTTGCAGCTATGGCCTGGTGGAGAGCATGCATATTAGCTTGGACCCCTCTTATTAACCCCCAGTACCTTGACGAGCGCATTCCCAAACCTACATGCATCGGTTTCCCGAGCCTTTGGAAAACTGTACAAGCAGCCAAAAATGCAGAACCAACAGCACTTCTGAAGTTCTGATTCATTCGTGCTGCCTCCCCCCCCCCCCCCCCCCCCCCCCCCCCCCTCTTTTCATTTGCCTGGTATTGCCTTTTACCTTTCTGTTTCTTTTTGTCGCCATTCTTGTTGCTTTTGTCCGTAAACATTTCGCCACATGATTCGCCTTATTTTGTGAAATTGTTTTTTTTTCCCCCTTTTCTTTCTTTCTTTGCCGCCTCGCAATATTCATTTCGTCGCCTTTTGAGTCTGCCACTTCTTCGTGTTTGCGACCGCAGTTTTCAAAACGACTGCTGCCCATGACTCCGCCGACCCAGCCTGCAGACACCCCCTTGGGTTCACGAGGACCGACCCTGCCAAGGAGCTGCGCGCTTATACGTCCTGTCCCTGATGTCCAAAACGAGCCCTGCCCAACCCTCTACCATGCCTTTGCCGCCCCTGCCCGAGCCCCTCCCCAGGAATTTGTGAGGTCCAGAAAACATACGTGCACAGGGTAATAATCCTTCGATCCTTTCTCCCTCCGTCTTTTACTCCAAAAAAAATGACACAAACCCATTCTCCGATTTTCCAACCGGCAAGAAGGCACTTTGCTCACCTTCAGCAGTTCGCCGAGTGCCGTCCGCAGTTCTTCCTTGACTTTCTGCGCCACAGTTATTTTGTCGTATTCCTTAGCAAGCACAGATTTCATCTGATCCTTCGACTCTGGACCCACAGGGAACTTGGCCTCCCTGAGCCAACCACTGTGCTGCTCCTTAAACTCGTGGCTGATTAAACACACAAAAGGGGTACAGGTGGAAGCGTCAGCACATACATCTCTGAAACACACAACAGACAGGCCTTTTTTTTTTTTTTTTTTTAATTTGTAACAGGGCCTTATGGTCCTGGCTCCGTTCTATTCTGGGGAGCGTCAGTCCGGTTGCTATTCCACCGGCAAGTCAGAATATACATTTTATTGAAACTCACACACGCTTCCTCCCGTTTAAAGTTTAAACCATCACAGCGGAGAAGGAACCAGTAAGAATGCGATTGTGAATCAGCCACAAGGATGATCCCGCAATTTTTCAACAGATTCACATACTAAACTGCCTCACTCCCATCAGGTCCCCGACCTCGCAAGGCCTCACTTGCTGCTTGCCGCTGCCCCTTTCAGATCGGAAAAAATTGCACCATAAGCCAGCAAACATCCTGCGAGCACAGGATCTGAAAATTTGGCACATCCTGTGCTTTTAGTCAACACAACAAAACAGAAGATGCACAGGATGTGCCAAACTTTCAGAAGAGCCCCCGTGGACCGTTTCCTTGATTACCACTAATGGTTAATAATAGGTGGGGTCACCCCGGGGTGCCATTTTCTGCGACTTCTTTTCACTGAAACAGCCATATATCCCTGAATTTTTGCTTTTTTCTTGTTGTTTTTTACTTTGTGTGATGCGTATGTGCTTTAGGGTACATCTGTATTCGGTTTCGAGTCTTCCGACGTATTTTTTGGACCTGTAACGAAAACGTTGGCAAAAAAAAAAAAACACGGAGAAAAAAATTGACGAACTCCAAAAGCTACTCCGAATATAGAATTTTAGTGGTTCTGAGATCTTTTTTTTTCGTTTTTTTTTGCCTGTTTGGCTTTCTGATGTTTGTATTAGGTGCCTGCATTGTTTGTTCACAAAATTTTCGACGACATTCCTTGTGGTGAAGCAGCGAAACCCCCGAATTTTGGGCCTTCAATCCACCATCTCTCTTGATTACGAGTCTGCAAACACACTTGTGGAGGCAGGCATTCCACAGGAGCTCACCGGAAAGACCATCAAAATTGATCAAATCCACTTACAAAGCCACCGTAGCTCCAGCTGTGTCTACCAAAATTTGTCATAAATCTAGATGCCATAATGTCAGAGCTTTACTGGACCATTGTGGGGGTCGTCAGGCAGTCACTGGGGCTTTGAGTTCTGAGATAAGGGCCAAGTAATCTGCGACCTCTGCGGGCCCCAAGCCCCGGTGACTGCTTTAAGTTCTGAGATAAGGGCCAAGTAATCTGTGACTTCTGCGGGCCCCAAGCCCCGGTGACTGCATAATAACCCACACGATGCTACACTGACCGATAGTTTCGTGGTGAACTTGCAATGGCATCAAGCGCCGGTGATTGCACACCCACCCGGAAGAGGATGCTACACCCACCGAGTCCCAGTAATGCTTGAGCGGAAAAAGGGGCATTTCTGGGACTTGGTGGGGTGTCGCATCCTCTTCCGGGTGGGTGTCCCTACCCAGTTACACAAATAGGTGCCCCAAGGCCCAGCAATGCGATAAATAGGTTCATGGCACTTCATGCCAAACTGGCAGTGGCATCAAGCCCCAGTAACTGGGTAAGGAGGGACCGCCGTGACGCTATCTTTATTCTTTATTCTCGGCACGTAGGGTCGTCACAAATTGGCAGTGGCGTAGAGCCCGAGTGCCTGTGCCCCGACCCACGCGATGCGACAATAAATCCTGGCATATGGGTTCATGCCATGGCAAATTTCGCAGTGTGCGCAGCGGCTATGGTCGCCTTGTCAGTTGATTTAGTGATCTTTCGGGTGATAGGGCTGGACATCGAGTCCCCGTCTTCAAGTTCTGAGCCTGGGTCTTTATCTCCATGGTGCGAGCGCACTTCAAACTACCGCCCTCCCCTGAATACAACATATAGGGTCATTACAACTGTATTTGGGGAAACCTTCACTCTAGATACAGATACAGCAATAGCGACCGTATGTTCTACTTGCATGAAGGTGGAGGCTCCTCCAAGGCCTACAGAGCAGCAAACATGCCCCACTACCCGTACTTGGGCGCTACTCAAACCCACGTTCGGATAAACAGTTTAAACAGTTTCTGCTCGCTGTACAAATGGAGTTTCAAAGTCGTCCCTGAAGCCCTGATAGCAGACATAAAACCCAATGAGGCTAGGCTAGAATAACCCCAAGGATTTAAGAGTCTCCCTCTACCTACAAGAACACCCGCCTTATCCCGAAAGGGAAAACCAGACTCCAACAGGTGCATGGGAACATGAATTTGGCCCGAGATGCCGATGCGGTGCACTTTCGTCTGCTTTATTGTGGCTTGCCCATGAAACACTCGACACTACCATCTTCACCCGAATAGAACGCCCGGTCATTACAGCTGTATTCAGTGCAACTTTCAGTCCAGATGCAGCTGTTATGACCAGCCGTCCTATTCGGGTGAAGATACTAGTGAGAGCTGCACTGTCCAGCCCCTCATATGCTTTTGCTGTTTACTACCGTCTTCACCCGAATAGACCATATAGCTGTATTTGGGCTGAATTCCAGTCTGGATACGGCTATCTTGACCAAGCCTTCTAATCGCATGAAAGACGGTAGGAGTGTGGAAGGAGACCGTAGGACAAGGCAAAGCAGGGAACCGCGACCTGGAAATTGTCCAGTGTTGTAGGTAATGAAGCGCGGGGAAAGGAAGCGACCCCTGGGAGCAAATCAGAGAGTCTGAGATGGATGCTCTGCAAATAACACGTCAATATCACATGAACAAGGTTCGGAAAAGTGGTTAAATGAATTTTGAAAGCTGCCGCTATCGCATGAACCAGCAATCCAAAGCTTTCAACAGACAGTACGCCGCCGAGGCAAACTTGAGAATCGAAATTGAAAATTGAAACGTGGCCAATGCACAGAAATCAAGTGAAGTTGGTGACCAGTGCTATCCGACCAGAATGGCTGGCGGTGCCAGGCAAAAAAAAAGAAAGTGCGACGCTGGCGGCCCGGCCAAGCTTGGCCTGCAGTGTAAATCCACCACATAAAAATGAGACTCAGAGGTACTTGCGCTTTAAGTGAACGAAAAAAAGAAACATGAATCAATCATCTGATTCCACCAGAATCCGAACTCTCGCACATGTGTCCCAGTCAGCCACATGTGCAAGGGCGCAGCAATAGGTGCAGCAATAGAAAGCTTCTTTTCATTTCATTGATATAAAATATCCAGAGTTCGAAAGGAAAATGTCCACAAACAAATCGAAGCAATTGTTCGATTTATGCAAGGTACCCATCCTCATAGTTTGGTTGTCTCGCTCCTTTTCCTGATCATTGGGGGGATAAAGGGCACCACATTTCGGCTGTTCGTCAACTGAATTGGACAGCCTCATCATGGCCCTCATGTAAAGCAGGCAAAGCTGTCCCAATCCATTACAGTGAATTTGGGACTCGCTCGACCACTCACCAAATGCGCAAAATGAGAATAAATCTTCCGCTAGAGCACTGGGAAAAAAAAAGAGAGAAAAAAAAAAGGAAAGAAATAAAGATACACCGCCACTTTTTTTTTCGTCTTTGTGGTGAGTACTGGATTGAGGTCCTTTATCCTAACTTTTACATAGACAAGGGGTATTACGATTCTGTGGAGGCGGCGATTCTTTGGAGGAGGAGGAAAATCTCCACAAACAAACAGTCCATTTACTCTGAAGCAGACACAAACAAACAGTCCATTTTCCAAAACAACAGGCAAACAAAAATAGTGTCGTAAAATGCAGCTGTAAGAATTGTTAAATCTAAAAGAAAGAAAGAAAAAAAGAAAGGCAAACAAAAATAGGTTGGCATCTATATGTCTCAACTACTCAACTGATGATCTATTGAATGTCTCGCAGTGCCAGAGATGCTCCCTGCCACCATACTCTTCTATAAAATACAAGAATAACAAAAATACTAAGTAGTAATTAAAGAACATATACATTGCTACTCTGGAGACGGTTAACGAGTAAGCGCAAGTCGACAGTCCCCCCATTCTCTCCACCAGGAGCCCGTGACTTGCCAAGGTACAAGTGGCACATACCCTTGGATCGCAAGCATCGCATCCGCCAGCGCAACCATGTTCTTTGAACTGGTGCTCAGCGCCTTGTTGCCGCCTTTTTCTTCCGGGAAAAATGAACTTAAGGAAGGAACCTTCTTGGAGATGTAATCGCCCAAAACCAGGTTCTGAATCATCACACCTGCTCAAGCAAACCAAGACAAACCAACACGTAAATAAAGCCTCTGAGCCTCACCATCGGACTGCAGCACTTCCTTGAAGAAGAAAAAAAAAAAAAGAAAAAGGGAAAAAAAAAACATTGCCGGAGGGCTAGACTGCAGGACTTGACGCTCGGCTACCATCCCATTTCAATTTACATTCCATTCTGGGCTATGAGCCGGGCCACCCGGGTCACACACCTTGTTTGAGTGAGGACCAGCAACGGGTCCAGCAAAAAAAAAAAAAAAAAAAAAAAAACACTGAAAGAAAAGTTCAAAAAAGCTATATGATGCACAAAAAAATAAACTGCACAACTTTTGCCTCAGGGTAACAACGAAATTCTTTACCAAATTTGAAATAAAAAGTACTATTTTTTATTTTTCTATTTTTAATTTTTTTGGCCCGGCCGGGCAACTTGCCCCGGGCCACTATGGTAGCCTAGATTCCATTTCAAAAAAGCCCACAAATGAACAACGAAAGATAAGTAAATACACAGGCAACAAGTACCCCTCATTCTTGCATGTGTGAGGCGGTCCTGGGTACTACGACATTTGCATGCCAGGCGATGTGATTCACAACTCACCACTCACCCAGGCAAGTGAGCAGTGCCTGGGGGAAATTCCCACTTACCCAGGTTCTGCAACTCTCGACGTCGATCCCTGTAATCTACGGTCCAGGATGAAGAATCCATACCTACGGAACTCCCCTTGAGTCAGCAGCCGCATTGATCTGCCTCGACGTCGATTAGAAATTCCTTGTAAGCAGGGTTGTCACCGCCCCGGCCCCGGGGGTCGGGGCAGCCCCGGGGGTCCGGTGCGGTGGTCCCCTGACGCCGGCCCTGGAGGAGTGCACAATGACAGCCTGGCCCCCCTGGACAAAAATCAAAAAAATGATTTTTACCCCTCCCCGGACCCCCCACTGGGGCCATACCCACCATTGGTGCGAGGGCGGGGATGGC